ATGAATGCACTTGCACCCATTACACCAAATCGCGAGGACATAGGCAAACAGGTATACAAACACAAACGTAAATAACGAGATGAATGTAAGTCAACTTTCAGGCTCTGACACATGTTGCATGTTACAGTTTTCGTTACAGTTTATTACAAATGGAACGACAAGTTTAGTGTACTCACATTCTTTCGAAATAATAATAATAATTAAAAATTCAACTCAATGACATGTCAACAGTAACAACGACACGATCACAATTTACCTTATGACGATCAATATATTATCTAATAACGAAGTAAGAATTCCCTTTTCAAACTTAAAATGAAGGTCTCATGTAGGCGTATATATGTGTGTGCTTGTATATATATGCTGTACTGAAAATTAATTAAGAATTCTATACATATTTTTACTTTTGCTTTTTGTTTTTTTTTTTATTTTTTTTTTTCGAATGTTTCTTTTGTCCCATTTTGCTTGATTGCATTATTTATTATAAAAATTATCTTTTTTTTGAAATTCCGTTCAAAGATTTCGAAAATTTTCCGAGAAAAAAAAACCCTTTTTTTTTTGTATTTTGATTACGTAATGGTTATTTTAGTTTTCTCATATTTTAATGATTTTGTTAAACTATCAGTAATTTTCGATTAGCTTGCTGCACCTTGAAGGTTCCATCACTTTCGCTTTTCAAAAAAAAATATTTAAACAATAAATTATATCTGCCTTACGGGCTAATTGCAGATATTCATAAAATAGGCATAGGTACGCATATAGCGAAGAACAATAATGCATTTATTTTGTCATTGCGTTTCCAAAGCTCAGGCATAAGCCTCAAAAAAATTTCACAAAGTAGGCATATACTCTCGATTAACCAGGTCCTGAGGCGATTAAGTTAGGTGGGCCTGCTTCTTGTCTCTTTAAATTAAAGCCTCAAACTCACATTAATTAACATAAATATGGCGAGTTATCATACACACGTAACATGTTGATCAATAATTCACGGGACTTATATATATAACACATACATATTACCATCTCTAACAAAGAATTCGGATTTTTTTTTCGAAAATGTTCATCGTTATTGTGTTTTTTTTTTTTTTTGTTTTGCTCTGTGAGCTGGAGGTAGAAAATCTTCGAAAGATACTGCTGGGTCTTAGTAGCAGCATGCACGATTCGCCATCCCTGGCGCATGCGTACTAAAAACTACCCCCCACACACACTTCGTCTACCACTCTCCCCCGCGGGACCACCGTTAGGTATTACTTCGCGGGGGCTGGTTGTCGCTAGCACGCTCCTGATGGTGGGACCTCAGTGGAATGCACTATCGGCTTCCACTCCCTCTGCTCTCCACCCGTTGCCTCTCCAATCGCCGCAACTCCACGAGAGTATTGCTGGCGAATGCGTCTACGGCGTTCCAGGCTGCTGCACTGCCAACCATTGCGCTTGTTATCTTGTTAGGTGGCACTTGAGGCCGCCCATTCTCGAACCTGCTGCAGTAGAACATTACGTGTTCTGCGTCCTCCTCCATATCCTCGCATAACGGACAGTTAGGCGAACTGTCGTGCTCGAATCTGTGTAGATATTTCCGGAAACAGCCATGGCCAGTCAGAAGCTGGGTTAAGTAATAGTTTACTTCTCCATGCCGTCTGTCGACCCAACGTCTTATGTTAGGGATAAGAACGAATGTCCACCTTCCTTTGGTCGTTCTTTCTCAACTCGATTGCCAAATCCTTAGCGAGACCATCCGTTCCTCGGCTCTTATAACTAGCGAGGAGAGATCGTTGTCGCGACGCCTTTGGTAGATGCGGCTCATTTCATCGGCCAGGATGTCGACTGGCAGATTGCCAGCCAGCACTAGCGCCGCCTCCTCCGACACGGTTCGGAATGCGCAAATCTGCCTCAGGGCGCTGAGGCGATATATCGCCGCCAATTTTCGGAGTGCCGCCTTTACAGTCAATGCACCCGCCCATACTGGGCTCGCATACATAATGATTGACATCACCACAGTGGCTATGACCTTTCTTCTAGCTGCTTTCAGACCCCCCACGTTTGCCATAATCCTTGCCAATGCCGTCTGGATGCCTGCCGCTTTCTTCGCCACGTAGTCGATGTGCCGCCTGAAGTTGAGGCGGTGATCAATTATCCCTCCCAGGTATTTGAGCGCGGGGACTGACTGCACAATGTGGTCCCCGATTCTTATCTCGCACGTCTCTAGCTTCTTCCGGCTGCTCACAAGCACGACTTCCGTTTTGTACTCAGCCAGCTCTAGGCCCACCTTATTTAGCCACCCTTTAATACGCATGATTGGCTCGGTAGCTTTCGCTTCTATATCGGCAATATGCTTTGCGACCACAACTATCGCAACATCATCGGCGAATCCAATACTCGTTGTGCCGGTGGGCAGCTCCAACCTCAGGACATCGTCATACATGATGTTCCACAAAAGAGGGCCAAGAACTGACCCTTGTGGGACGCCTGCTGATATTTTATACTGTTCTGTGCCGTTGTCTGTGTTATTGTGTGTGTGTGTGTGTGTGTGTGTGCGTGCGTGTGTGTGTGTTTTCGATATTTCAGCTCCAATATAAGAAATTGCAAAATAAAATGAAAGCAGCGGCTAAAGAATCAGATCATTGCAGTGACAATCTACGCAATGAGTTGCAGCATTACAAGCAATTGCTGGAGAATCAGTTGGAAAGTTTTAATAATTTACGCGACGATTTGGCAATTAAGGAGCTGGCTTTTAATCAAGAGAAGAAATAAACTCAATTCCGGAATTGTTACTCTAGAAAAGTGAAGAACGACCTGGAAGGCCTAGAAAATGAATCACGATAGCAATTCCTTGATAGATTCCAAGCCATTAAATTCGGCGAGCAATAGTCGAGACAGCTGTGAAGGAAACGTTACCCCTAATGAGAATGTGCGCCAATCTAGACTAAATGTTTCCGTAGTCAATACGGAGCATAAGTACAAAATTACGAAAAGAAAAAATCAACATTGTCGTGGTCGCGATCAACGCCGACGTCGTGATATCCACGTTAAAGAAACCATGATAATTCCAGCAAATATAAATCGCAACTGTGAGGAATTAGATGAAAAGCTTTGAGAATACCAACATAATGTATGTATAGGTTGAGGTAAACTTACCGCTCTCAACATGAAATTGAAAAAGCATCCTTTAAAAGATGAGAAACGTTTACCTTAATGAAACGCATACAAGAACAACCGCGTCCATGGACAGCGTCATTATGAAATGTCAAAAACAAAAGTCACATGAACCGACTATAAAAACTGAAAAAAGCTTTGAAAAGCTTTGACTGCAAAAACGAGTAAAACACAATCGGATCAGTTGCGATAATGGCAAAAGAATATTATTCTTGATGAAGATGAGTTTTCGGCAGCATCGGCAGCAACTATCGTAATTCCAAACATGCAGTTAGTGAATGGAGAGATGCACAAACTGATGGAAGGTGCGAGAACAATGAGCGCACAAACCGAACACCGAAGACAATTCGCTAAGAGCGTCAGAGGGCGGTCGAATAAAGTCATTAAAAAATCAAAAATTAATGATAATTAAAAAAAAAATACGAAAATGCGAAAAGGCGTAAACTGCTGCGCAACGTAAACTGCAGGAACGAAAAGTTGAAAGTTAATAACTAAGATGCAAGAGAGCACAGCATAAGTAATTCGCTTACACTCATAAAATATACTTGAATTTATTATTAAATTGTAATTTTCAGCTTTAATTAGATTCAAATATAATTGTGCGATTGATGCTCTCTATTTATGCTGTTTATGCTAAATATATATATATATATATATATATATGTATATATATATATACATTATGATCTTGTTGTGCCATCCTTGTATTTGATTATTTAGTAATAACTGTTATTATCATTGCATATGCGGTGTTTTAATTTTGTCTTTGTTTGCAATTTTTGATTTATTAAATGCTATTTTCGCAATTTATTTACTGCATTTATGGCAAACGATCGAAAATAGAATCGACATTTTATTAGCACTAAGTCGCCTTAGGGCTCATTGACATTATCCACTATATATATCAAGCAAAAACAAGTAAATTCATTTTAGTTGGGCAATACCGACTATTAGATACCCTACGGCACTTCGCCCAATACAGCTATACACTAGTTTTGTTCACAATACACAAAGGCGTACTTTTCTTGAAAGGTCGACATAACTTTTACTTTTCTTCCCTCATGATATTTGCTGGACTCAACTTCCCTGTGAAATAACATAGGCACAACGCACAAGAATAAAGCTCAACTTACAAAAATAGAAAAAGTTTCTTACGGCTTATATCGGATTATCGGTCGCTCAAAGCAATCTATGTCAAGTTGTTTGAAACAACTTTTTATTGGGTTTTCACATTTTTGAAATTAAATTTACCGAACGCTCAAATTTCGAGAGTACCTTATCCCTTTTGGTCTGTATGTCGTCCTCGAAGCCATTAAGGTCTATTATAATAGATTACAATGCCTACCGTAGATGCAATAATAAAGCAAAACCGAAGGTTAAAACCGATTGTAAGTAAGATAAGAGCATCTAGTTGGTCGTAGCTCTCTTGGCAAGGAGTTATAAGCTCTTATAATGTTTTAATGGATTATATTCACTTCTTTCACTTAAAAGAAGATTGGATTGAATTTTGTTTATAAAAAGAAGAAGAACGGTTTGCACTTTTTGCGAAAACGACTCGAATTAAAAAGTTTCCAAGATTTGTGTGAAGTACATTCGAGTTTCGCTATTAATTTATGAAAGCACACTGTACTATGCGGTTGTAGCGTTGATTTCCCAATCAATTCACATTTTATGTTTTTATTTTAGAGATGTCATAGTTGTTTTTGTTGGAATGGTTCGACTTAGTTTATAGTCGGCAGCATTTTTCGCTGATTATTGTTTTGTAAGACCTACACGACAATCTGATGCCAATTATCGGTAAATGCCATATTTTGATCATTTTCTTAATGATAATAACAAAAAAACGGGAGTTAATGTGCTTTCATTTGCTAACTCAGCCAGAGATGGTATCTGTATCAACTCTTTATTATTAAAACAATTCCATAAAATACAATAATTCACATTAAACACAAATACACTGCTAAAGTAAACAAGCTTTAATTTCATATACAAATGTAGAGATTGTTTGAAACTAAGTTTAATTTTGCCTCTTAAAGCGCATTCTTCAAATATCCGTAAATTGCCCAATTGCTCCGTTAAATTTAGGATAAATTGAAATTTTGTGTAAAATCGTATTCAATTGTTGGTATAACAGTTTGTACGAATTTTAAAAATATAATCAAATATAAATGCACACCCAATTCGCCGCCACCTTCTTCAACCGTTTGTATGATTTTTTTCATAATATCAGCGTGTCGGCAAGGATGAACTGACGCCATATTTGGTCCTGGCAGATGGGGATGACTTTCCATAGTGACAGTCTTCTTTGCATGATCCTGAGAAACGTCTTCATACATTTGTTCCACAGTTAAAGGTTTACGATTCTAAGTATCATCATAAAAACGAAACAAATAAGAAAATTATACTTGGCTGTGACCGCGTCCTTTATACATCCACCATCTTTATTCTAAAAATTACGAAAGAAAAAAGCGAAAAACTATATGTCTACATTTCTTTATATGATATTTGGATGGGCGCGACTGATTTTTTCACTTTTATAGATTATACATCAAAACAATGATGAATACGCCCAAAAAGCAGGGATATTGTAAGATCATATTGCAGAATATATATACTTTGTGGGGATTCTGAAACTCTCCTTTCAGCACTTTAAAGGTTCTGATATGATATTTTGATATAATATAATGTTACGTGGACCCGACCGATTTTTTCATTTTTGTACACATTCTAGAGGACATAAGTGCAAATTTTTACCCTTACATATGAATTGTTTCGGTTGTGAATAGTGAGCTGAAAAACGCTTTTTTCTTGTTTTTGAAAACCGAAGTGTTCTCAGCTTACGTGACCCTGTAGGCGTTTTTTTCGATGTCAATCTAAATGCAAAAACCTGCAACGTCTGCAACAAATGTGAAGCCGATACCGTCACTACACGGACAGACAGGCGGAGGCGGAGAGACGGACAAACGGAACTACTTAAATCGATTCAATAGTCGATGCTGGTCAAAAATACAACTATTTAATGGGGGGTTTGAAGCATCCTCCTGGGTGTTGCAAAATGTATATATCGTTATCCTTTGGTGGTGGATATAAAAAGGAAATACATTTTAGCTAAAGAAAATTATGTTAAAATTATTATTTTTAACCTCATCATAGCCAATAACCCAAAGACGTGGTGTCTGATAATATTTATCATATGTTATATGCAAATCATAGGTACGCGTATGTAGAACGGAATCTCCTGAGTCTGCAGTATTATCTCCTTTCACTTTACTGTTTTCCGATTTTTCCAATTCACGCATTGTAGTGGCTAAAGCCGGATCCACCAAATCTAACATTCCACTTTCTTCAAATTCATCCATATCTAAAGCTTCATCATCCTCTTCATCAACCTCAGCATTAATTGCACCAGCTTGTTCACTATCTGGAGTACGCATTTCTTCCTAACCATAAGAAAGAGTTATGCTTTAATCGATCAAATATTTCGGCTTAACTTACTTTACTATCATCTAATGTCAATTCACAAATTTTCTGATCTAACTCAGCTGAAGTGCCGTCTTCATTTAGCTGATGGGTTTCCACCCATCCACCATCACCAGACTCCTCTTCCACTACGGTCTCCTCGCCGACGTATTCCATTTGCTTGCAACGTCTATAGCAAGGCACATTACGGGTAATTAGGAATTGTCTATCTGTAAAATTAAGTAAAATATTAATATTGTCAGGTGTCATACGGGCCACTTGCCTTTGGGTAAATAGGCTTTTGCTTTAGCTTCGTCACCAATCGCCCACTGCCATGTAGGACAATGATGTACTAAATGTTCTCCGGCAGCAACGAATTCTTCCGGTGTAAGAACACCAGTTTCACGAAATTTCGACTCCTTTTATTTTATCCACGAAACGCAGAAAGAAAAAACAATTAATATTTACGTATTGGCTGTGTATACTAAGGTCCTTTTTCATGAATCACCCAATACCACCCTTTTAGGCGATAATTACATCGAAATACTAGGCACTGTAGACACCTACCTTTAAGACTGGCGTCAAGTATTCAGCCACATTTAGAGCTGTACCTTTTACTGTATTTAAAACACTTTGCATCGTGTTTTATTGATTGAAATTTAATTATTATTGTGTTTTATTACTGATTTATAGAGAATTTATGTTTTTAGATTTTTCTATCAAAACTCTTTCGGCTTTTTGTTCCTTTTGTTCTTAGAAATTCAATGATGATTTATTTCGTATTATCATTACATTTTGTAAGAAAATATGTAACGCCATACAGTGCGCATAATACGCTACTACACGTCTGCTTTAAAACGAGACGTAACCTAGACGCTCCAATACGCACAAACAGTTCTTTGGATGATTTAAATTAATCCTGAATTAAATATTGATTTTTTTGCTCATGCTGATCGAAAATATATATGCTCTATTAGATCTCTGATACATATGCGTTGTCTAAAAAACGTTCAACAAATGTTATATGCTTTTTGTTAACCATATAATATTTAATATATTATTTCATAGGAGTATTTGCTTAATTAAAGTCATATCAATCAGAATCGTATCGCTTCCACTCAGAACTTTAACGAATATACAAATTGCATTTAATAGTGATCTTTGGCTCTATTAGAAATCTTCAAATACGAAAATCGTTAATTTATTTTATTAAACTTAGATGTGCAGTTAAATTAATTGAATTGAATAAGTTATGAGTAATGAATATAAAATCGAAAAGATTTCTATGCACAAGGAAAGAATTGACTGTTTGAGATGCGATATCTCCGTAATATGCAAACTGAAGCCGTTCAACGCTTAACTTGAGAAATATAAATAGTGGACAACTTATAAACCAGAGTTGGAGATCATAATATCATCAACCAAACTCCGCAAAATACCAATGAACAATAATACTTCACTAAACCAGCTACAAAAACGTATTAATACTCTTTAAAGAGATATGGTTCGTTGTAGAGAACGTAGAATTGCACTATACTATACTATGAGAAAAATCAGCTCTGATACTAACCGCCTAAGCGGTGTAAATATTAGTAAAATTAATAATAACAGAACGTTTGTTCCATTGATCTTGGGCACAAACCAGGCAGAAGTGACATAGTTGAACGGAATGGATTAAATGGAACATTTGAAGTTATCGGCATTATATCGGAATCGCCATTATTTCCAAGCCTTAGCACTGGTAACGCTGGCTTCATTTTAAATACTTCTTATTTTTGTTTATAATTAATTTGTAAAAAGCTAATCCACACACATTCACTATCGATATCTATGTTATCTTAACCAATTTTTCTCATTTTCTTTAAGGTACAACTGAAGTCAAAAAGGAAAAGCTTCAGCTTTTCATATACTTTCAATGCTTTATAAATTTTCGTAACGACTTGCAAGTGAAGTAATTGGCCGATATATCAATTGTATTGAAGTGAAACTACCGCTGGAAAGTTTCTATTACACTAGTACCAAAATTATTTATTCAATAGGTCTATTCAAGAATTAAAATTACTGGCTGGTCAAGAAATTAATTCCATCAAATGTTAATAAGCTGCATGAGGTGTTTAATTAACTTCATTGGGTAGTGGCATTATCATTTAAGTCTGTTTTGCCTTCGCAAAACATAACTTTTCTAATTTTTGATACAAAAGATACGCTCAAGTTCATATAAAATTTGTACCACGCAGTTGCGGTATAACTGAATTGAGTAGATTGAAGAGCGAAGACCTTTATATATATATTCTAATTTTCTGGATTGTAACGAGGAATCCTTTTATAATTATAATGTTCGACAATATAGCAATTTTGATCTATCCAAGTTTGTATTCAATGTTCGTAAAATCTCTTAACGTGACATAGCATTGGAGCTTTTACCATTCCACGAAATAGTATACAAGATGCTGTTAACTGTGGGTATATTAAAATTATTTAGCCGATTTTTGACACCCTTCCAAAGAAATTGTCAGGTTCTTTTCTTATTGGACATAATCATGAATGTCAAAATATTGTCAGAAATTGAGAGGATCCTGTAAGCACGACTGACAAGTTTACAAAGAATACTGCGTGAACTGCTCATTAGCTTGTGACTAAGGCTGGTTTCCGAACTTCCCCTGAATATTTAGGTTGGAACTTAATAATTACTCTGAATTTTATTGGCTGCAATGTTACCTTAATAGAACTTTTTTACCTATTATTTAATTGAGACTAATTGTCTCTCTATATAATACAGTATATTTATTATTACGGTATCGAAAAAAATTGAACGCAGTGGAAATTGTTGGAAATTTCTTCAAAAGCAATTCAAGTTTTAGATGAGGATGAAATTGTCAGCATGTAATGAATGTAACGCGTGAGTGACGGCTTGTGGCGTTAACATGACTTCGTGACTTTCCATTTTAAATTGTTTGCAAAAGAATAATGTAACTGCGAAGCACCTGTAGTGCCAACAAGTTTTTCTATGTGTTTTCTATTTATTTTCATCTTTTCCGATATTTTCTATTCATTTCTAATCATCTATGACTAAACAAAGTATCTTTATGGATATGAATATTTTGTATTCAGGAAAAACAAAAATCGATCTATCTTTTTTTGGCACATCTTACCTATATTAGGAGCAGTTACAGTCAGTATATCATATTCTTCTTTCTAGCAATTTTCAAGTATAAGATTAGCCAAACGAATACGGAATACGAATATTTGCAAAATATAACTGAAAGGTGGCAGCATGATCACTTTAAATAGAACCAATAAGCAAAACATTTGTTAGATATGACGTTATTTTTATGCAAAAGCAGTATATGTGAATCATACAAAAGAAGAAAAACTAAGCACAACATAGATTGACTTAAAATTATAAAGAGCTTGGAAGGTAAAACAAAATTTTTGTCATTTGTAAAAATAAAACAAAGGGAAAGGAAAATTCTTACTTTGGGAAGCAAGCAAGCGAAACAAACTGGGGAACGACATGTCTACGTCTGCTATGGAAAGTATGAGAAATTTTCAAGAATTTTAAGTAAATTTAATTAATTTTAAAACTGCTTTAGAACACCTATTCAATCTAAAATTCGCGGTGAAAGAACTTGAACGCAATAGTAAACGATGTGAAAAAGAAGAAAAATTAGAGAAAGCCAAAGCGAAAAAAGCTATACAGAAGGGTAACATGGATGTGGCTAGGATTCATGCCGAAAATGCTATACGCCAAAAGAATCAAGCCGTTAATTATCTACGTATGAGTGCAAGAGTAGACGCAGTGGCTAGTAGAGTACAATCCGCACTAACTACACGCAAAGTTACTAGTTCTATGGCAGGCGTGGTTAAGGCCATGGACGCTGCTATGAAGGGTATGAACTTAGAGAAAATCTCTTCTCTGATGGAGAAATTCGAATCTCAATTTGAGGATTTAGATGTACAAAGTTCGGTAATGGAAAACACAATGTCGGATACAACAACAACTTCAGTGCCACAAGGCGATGTTGACAATTTGCTGCAGCAAGTAGCGGACGAAGCAGGGTAAAATAATTCCTTTTTTCATTAAAAGCGAACGTTTTCTTAAATAAGTTTAAATTATTGTAGATTGGAATTAAATATGGAACTGCCTAGTGGTGTGCAAAGTTCAGCCGTTGGTACAGCCACTCAGGTGTCCCAAGAACAGGACGAACTCACTCAACGTTTAGCCCGCCTTAGACAAGCTGAATAGGTTATCTCCTGAACAGTATTTTCCTAAGAGTGAAGTGTTATTTAGAGTTCCCGGGAAATCTTTCTGCAATCTATTTTCTATTAATTGTTTCTATCGCTTAGTTATTTTAAGTAAAGTCTAATAAAACATACAAAACACAAGAAATACTTTTTGTTATGGTGTTTAATATTTTATTTTAAAAGAATTGTTTTTTCAAGTTTATTTGACGTTGTTGCATCATGAGCAATTGTTGAGCGTGACTTTCGTACAATCGCGTTTCTTCTATTCCCTGAACCACACTAAAACTTGGGTTAACATTGTTGGCATCTGAGGGCTTACTCGGTTCATCGGTGATCTTCTTCATTCTTTGTTTACGCACTTTCTTCTCTTTTTGCTGATTGCTGGGATCCTTATTCTTTGGTTTAGGCCCACGTTTTTGTTCGATTTTTCTTTTAGGATGAGGAGCCACCATAGGTAACGAACGCCAGATGTCATTATGACGATCTAGACATTTCTTTAGTAGTTCCACATCTCGTACGCGACGACGTATTAACTTTTTTATTGTATTGACTCTTAAAGTTGCAATTTTTTTAGACCTTCCCTGATGAAAATTATAGGTTCATCGACTACTCACCTTATTACACAGCGTTCATTTTCCGTTTGTATTTCTTGGCAACGACTTAGTAGTTTTTCTACAAGTAGTTTATATTTTTGCCTTTTCTCATATAAAAGCATGTTTCCTATACTAAATTATTTTTTCATTTATAAACTATATTCTTCTTCTTCCAGTTTACATTCACTTTACAGTGTTAACTCATTTATAGTAATTTATGAAACTAAAGCTTTTTGACTATGACTTTCGTTTCGATTGAATTTAAAGATAAATTTAAATTTTCTCTTATATTCTCGAGAATATCATCTCTATATATTAAATTATCCAAAATATTTTGTAGTAACGATGTTTCCATGCTACCAACCGATGAGTCATCTTCATTCATGTTATTAATCGATTGCACCCCTTGCTTATCTTCCAAGCGATCTGCATCAATATCATCAAATATGCATGAAGCAGTGGATATTTTTGCTATCGGTTTAGAAATTTCAAGAGCTTTAGCTGCATTTCTATGCAGAAGTTTGTGTTTCTTGTAGTTTGAAGGATCAGCGAAAGATTTTGGACATAAATTGCATTGATATGGCTTCTCCCCGGTGTGAGTACGCCAATGTCTATTTAGCGCGGATTTTTTCTCAAAATATTTCAAACATTTTGAACACTGAAATTTATATATTCTTAATGTGGAGACTTTCATTTCATTTCTAAACGAGCAAAATTCATTTACGTCAACAGCAGGTAATAATTTCACGTCAGTCACTAAAGGCTTACCGGGGAGCATGGAAGTTTCGACAGTTTGGTTTGTAAATGATTCAGATTTGCAAGAAGTTTCTTGCTGTATACGTTCATTAGAATTCGTAGATTCATTTGAAAATTTATAATTACTGTTTTCATCTCGAAACTGCTCAGCTAGTAGCCTTTCATTACACGCATGTTTTAAATTTTGCTTTACTACATTTTCTTTTTCAACACTAACTGGTGAGTGAAAATGGCTAATTACTGGTAAATTGCGGCCACCAGCGGCAGGTTCAGGCAACGGGGCCGACTCCACTGTTTTTAGAATTGTAGTGGGCATAAGCTGCGCTAATGCGTTATCGCCCATGATATTTCTGTTTAAAAGAATTGAATTTCCTGAATTTGTTAAATGTTTAGAGCTGCAAGTGTTTGGGGGCAACAATTTCGATGACCTTGGTACAATCGCGTTAGTAAATAACTGTTTAGGTTTCACTTGATTTAGAGAGTTTTGAACGTTATCGACTGATAAAGCGTCTACATTTAACTGTTTATTATCCTCGCCATTTCTTTTGGGCACCAACGATTGTAATGAACTTTGAAGCATTTCCAAATTGGCATTGTGCGATTCACTGTTAAAATTTTTGCTTAACTTGGCATAAGTAAATGCATCACAGGAAGTAGCGCACACCGTTTGAGGCAGATCCGAACTTGTAGGGCAGCTAAAATCCTTTCTAATTAATATTTTGTCCTCTGCATATCCCGTCGTCTTTGTAAACTCTTCATTTGAATTTAATGCTTTCACACATTCTATATTTATGGAGAAATTTTCGGAGCTATTAGATTTCACAATATCACATAATTTTTCAGCTCTTATAAAGTTTGATGGATTTTCAAGGGGCCAGGAGATTTTAGAAATCAATCTAACGGGGGAATGAGAACTCTGTGCGGAATTGTGAGAGTTCAAGTCGAGCCTGAAATTCTTTTTCAATAGCGACCTCCCTCCAGTCGTCTGTTCATATTTCTTAATAGCAACGGACCCATTTGCTTTCCTAACTGTAGTCGCACTTCCAGAAACATTATGATTGTTCGCATCCAATACATTTATGGGCTTAATATCTAAAGAAATCGCTTCAGGTGAATTTGTATTATTAACGAAATTATTTTCAGTGCTCGGAATCTGACCTAAATCTTCCGTGAAAGTTTTATTTTTAAGCGCATCTTTATCGCAGCCTACATTTAAGTTCGTTGGAGCATTAGCAGCATTTTTAAAAGACTCCAAGGTTTTTCTGCTGCTTTTCGATATATCGTGTAATCGAAAATGTCTGACAAAGTTTGACCGATGGGCAAATGCTAGGTTACAAACCTACAATAATCAAAAATTAAACTTTTTTATACAATAGATTTTGAGCGTTCTTACCTGACATTTGTATGGCTTCTCCCCAGTATGAATTCTGATATGTATTAATAACTCGTAACGTAAAACGAACGCTTTGTCACAGTAGGTGCACTTGAAAGGTTTGCGATTGTCATGTTTAGCCAAGTGATATTTTAAGTTATGCTTGTACTGTAACGAAACAGAATGCATGTTTAACAACTGTACATTTTAAATATAATGTCATCTTTACCTTGAAGCTAGCGGAACACTTTTGACAATTGTAAACCTTATCACTATGAGCTTCTCTAAAATGTCTTCTAACGGAACGATAAGACTTTAAGGATTTTTTACATCTCTTACAACGATATATTATGTCTTTCCACGATTTGGAATAATGATGTTGAGCTTTGTAGTGATCCTTCAGTTCATTCTCATTACCAAATATCCCGTTGCATTTTGTACAAATCAAATGTAGACGTGATCCCTCTCCTATGTTTTTTGGTTCTGTAAATTTTGCCAAGACAAAACCGCTATGTGAGCAAACGTCTGCCGCTATCGGTTTTCGAAAGTCTCGACTTTGACGAATAATCCTTACAGTTTTTAAGCATTGTTTTTTAATATGGCTCTTACTCAACATTGAGACTTCACCCGGAGTATAATTTTGTGTATATCTGTTGATATTTTTAGAAAATTTTGGTTTTGTTTAAAGAAATTTTCAGCTTCCAAACAAACTTTAATAGATTTTCATAGCTTGTTTTTATCTACATTTTTCGAATCGTTATAGGTTTTTAAATCACTTCTGTCCTTCCTTTGTTATAATTATAATATTTTTTAAAATTTCGCTATTTAGATTAATAACAACGAGAAGCATTCTATTTAATATGTAGTTAACCAGCAAAATTAGTCAAAGTTTCAAGTGAATTTTTGTGCGGCCAATCCCAAAACTATATGTATATCAACTTATTTATAAATTAAACAATTTACTGCACTCAGTTAAGGTTGTTTACAAGTTTGACAAATCTTTATTACCTCAATTCTCTTTCATTGTAAGAATTGTGCATATAGATGCAGCGTTGTTAAATAGTGTAAAGTTTACAAAGGATGTAATTTATAGGTACTTAGATTTTCTTTTTTTAAAACCGAACTCTTATAATACATTAGAATAATCAAGATATATGCTCCATTTCCAGCGACTTAGGAGTAAGTCTTTATAATAAAAGATAACATATATAAAAATTATTAGTTTTTGTAAACTTGTAATGCCTGGTCATAAAGCGCAACTACATTTATGAAATTTTATACATCATTTAAACTTAGAAACATTACAATTCCGTTTTGAGTATAAATTTGGTAAGAAATGGAATTAGATATCTAGGTTGCATCTACTAGAGGAATGCAAAGCTGTACTTTCCATTTTTCACTTCTGAGAAATATTTTTTTCTATCATTCTTTACCATATACTTACAATTTTGAAAGTCATGAACACTTGGCAATACTGTAAGACGAGGCATAAATGAGAATATTTTATGTGAGAAAAGGAGGCGGAAAAAAAGAAAGAGAAAAAGTTACTTAAGTGCAAAACCACTAGAAAATTTATGAATTTTTGTTAAATATCTTATCATTAAACTGAAACTGGGTTTATATTTAAAGCCGAATTTTTAGTTTTTAGAATATTGCAATCATGGTGAGTTTTGTTTTGAGCAAATTAAATAATCGGAAAAAGTGAAAATCTTGTGATTAATAGCGAAGATGATACAGCAATCGTCAAAAGAAAATAAATCGCATTCAAAACTATGAAAAAAAAAGAAGAAAATTCTATGAAACTAAATGCTTATCCAATGTGCTTTTTACTTATTTAGAGTTTTACGGAAAAGTTGACCAGTTTGATGTCGAGGCCTAATCAACAGCCTGGCCCATTAGATGAACAACCAATGTACATAAAATATGGTGTACGTTTTTTGGGTATTGTAGGAGCCTTTTGTAAGTGTTTGAAGAGTTTTTCGTTTAATTACTGAAACTTTTGTTGTGATCGATTTTTTATTATTGTGTGTATCAAGTGTTGTCTTCTTGATATTGTCTATATGCATTTTGCGGGGGTCTTGAATAAGTGAATAGCTGGATAGGACAGATAATGATATTTGACACTGATACTACACAAGAAGTTTTTATAACAATTGCATAAATTGTACATGTATAGAAGTGGCTGGCTATACTCTTGTTTAAAAAGGAAATTAATTAACAGGATAAGTTTGGAATTCTCAATTATGCATGAAAAAGCGTAATAATAAGTTTTAACGGTTGCATGTGATGCAATTATCATGCTACGGTATTTGAATCCTCATAGTTTGCATGAAACAAATCAAGTTAAAGCAATAAACGGCTGCCATTTTGATAGCAAGTATATCATTAGCATATAAAGCATTGTTTATATTCCATTTCCTGAAAATAGGCTACTCTGCTGTGCATGTGGGGATCTAAAATCAATTAGAAATTGTACTAAAACAAATTTTGCAGCATCCGGTTTTAGGGCACAATAACTTTTTAAAATAAACGTTACGATTTTAGCGGTAGCAAGACCCTTAAGATGCTTTCTGAATTTTGATAAAGAAATTTCCTGATTCAAAATTTAATTTGTAATTTCGAAGTTTTTTTTTACGTTCGCTTTAGTCTATAAGTTATTCGAATAAGTGACAGAGGGTTCCGACTTTAATTTTTTTTATGAACAACAAGCGTTGGAAGTTATTACTATGTATTTTTGAAGGCTAAGTCGAATAATTACAGAATATGCCTGTTTAGTCTGTGTTCATTGATTTTGCAGTTTTTCATTACTATTAAATTTCAACAATTGCATGGCGTTAGTTTTCTGTGGTTTTCATTGCGAATCGTTGCGAATGGGTTGTGATATTTACACAATACTTGTATGACAATATCTATAAAAGTATTTGTTTTTTTTAATCTCATTCGTACGAGTTTGTAAAATGTTCGCAGACTTTGTGAAAAAACAAATTTGATATGATATTTTTATTTTAAATTTAAGGAACTGCTTATCTCCATCAGCTTTGGTTACTCTTGATATGAGGTCCTAGAGGGCCACATCATCATTTAAAAACATCTAAGATTCGATTGGGACATTGAGTTACGCATATGATCTTGTTATACGAATACGTTTAGCGACATTGAGGACGAGCATCAGAAGGAAGAAACTTTGTTTGATAGGACGCAGAATTATCATTTATAATTTTATTTTTCTTGTCTTGCATTCTACAATAACACGCTAAGCAAACTTTAATATAAAATTCTTTTACTCTACCTGTTCTCAGTGGGTACATGAGGATTTTGTTCGAGAACCGAATGTATACGTTTTAGGACGGACAGTGCGTAACTCGGACATTTCCCTTTGCGAATATGATCAATTATATATTGAAGTCTACTTTGCCTGAAGCCGGGTTTTTGAATTTAGAACTCAGGTAGTGGATTTACAGTCCGGAATAGATTGTTTGTCGACAATGTGTTTGAAGGGGTTTTGCTGTTGAAATTGCAGAGTTTTTTGTATCACTTTTTAAGCTTTGTCAATTTGATTCACATCAACCGTTCGCAAGTTTTCTACAACTACACATCATTTTGTGACTTCACAAGTGTATGAGGAGTAAAGGTTCCTCTTGTCGCATCACTTATATTAAAAAAGGGTTTATATAATTCATTGAAACGTTGAAAGATTGGTTGCGTTATGGTATGTCCAGATAATGTTTAGTGCCAGAAATTTGGGCGGGTTCCAAAATTAATTTCACAATTATAATTTGTCATTGGCCATTGGCTTTACCCATGACAATGTTAGGTGAAACTTTAACAAGTTCAAATTAACAATAATAATAATTCTTTACCTAATTAACCCAGTTAGCCTTTATATGCACAATTTCACTTCTGCTGCTTTTCCATTTACGAAAGGTAATTTGTTCATTTTTAATTTCCCGTTTTTATTTACTATATGTGAAAATATGGTGCAGCACAATTATGATAACAAATTATTTACGTGCACATGCAATTCAGAAACGCATCAATAATTTAGCAAACCGGCCCAAGATGCTATTGAAAACCTTTTAGCTAGCGGGCGATATGCAAGAGTAAATGTTAAAAAAAACTACACATTGTTATAAAATATAATTAAATTTCCAAATATATTTCTCAAAATTTTGTAGGACATAAATGATGCTCACAAGAGAGAAAGGTCTAGTATAATTATGGATGTTCGTTGCTTTTGCTGAGTGATAACATAATTAAAGCTGCTAATATACGAAACAATATATTGACATAATAAGCATGTGCACGATATACGGTCGAAAGACAAGAGTATGCTCGTTTTGGCGTAATGTTCGCAACACCGAACAAGTAAAGTTCAGAGTCGCTATAAAATGTTTTATCAGAATTCTGAATCGACCTAGTCATCTCTGTGCGTGTGCGTGTGCGTGTTTGTATGGATGGTGGAAAGATAAAATGATAAAATTTTAATTTTTTCCATTTTATTCTAGATAAAATCCGTTAGTAATTAATTTAAAACTTCTAAAGCCCCTCAAGTCTAACTATAATAACTTACTTACTACACGTATGTTATTTTATCCTGGTTTGATAACATGAAAGGTGGTGGGTATATAAAATTCGGCCTCAGCTGAATATAAATTTCTTATTTGATTATCGTTGATGCGCTACTACGCTACTTGTGATATATAATATATTTAGTTTGCGCGGATGTGTGTAAAAGCAAGAAAAGCCTAAAATAGGCTGACATTTTATTATACTAATTGATTGGCAATCATTTTCTGCATCGATTTAAGCTTGTTTGTCTGTACCTCTGTCTGTTTGTCTAGCAATGTATTTTTTCAGTTCAATCTATAGAACGCCATTTCCAAGATACTTTCTGACGAAATTTATTATGGAGAATTGTTTTAATAAAAACGTTTTAAATCCGATCGTCTCACGACAATTTTTGATATAAGATCTTATTTGGAAGAAGTTGCTATATATGAAAAAAAAATCCAATTTTGAAAATTTCGAAAATAACATTGTTGTGAAGTTGTGTTGGTGGGGTATATTGATTTTGTAAAAACCATTGCAACACACCTTTTATAGCGCGTCATAGTTTCATTTTTTTTTTTTTCAAAACCCCTATAAAGCACAGAAGCAAACTTAGAAAACCTCATAAAGTATGTAGATTTTTGGCCAGCTTCAAATTCGGTATGCATCGGGCAGATTCGTCCGTTCAATTGTCCGCCTGTCCTTGTGATATCTGTGAAGAATATTCCACGATTCGCAAGAATGCAGATATCGTCTACAAACTTGCAAGAGAATTTGAAAAGGACGCCAACCGAAAAACAAAAAAAAAAAAAAAAAAAAAAAATGAATATTTTTGGTAATCAAATTAAACATTTCATGCA